GACCACATTGTCTGGTTTCTGTACCTGAGGTCTTGGCATCGGGAGCCTGGCTGAATTGAGACAGACGGTCTGTCCCCTTCTCTCAGGCCGGCCAGTTGCTGGAGCCAGCACACCACTCAGCACCTGCCCTGAGCCCCCAGCACACTTAGATATGCAAACCAGCCCACCCAGAGCCCACCCTGCTTTATCTTCTTACACTCACAAGACTGCCACCCCCACACTCAGCAGCCCCCATCCCAACAGCCCAGTAAGGCATCAGACAGCCAGGGGGTCCTACACTGCAAACCGACCCAAATCACTCAAACTAGTCAGTCATAACCTCCTGAGCCCCATTCTTTCCCACAAAACCCCAGTAAAATCTTTCCCTCCAGCTAGTCTGTTGTTGGTGCCTGCAGCCCCTCCCCGCTCCTGGGAGCTATGTGCAAACTGCCTCTCCAGAACCCTCTCTCCTGGCCTGCTGGCCTCTCCTCACAGGGAAAAATCTAAACCCCAGATCCCTGTCAAACAGAGTCTCAAGAGGCCTGGCCAACCTTTTGGAGGGTGTGGGGGGCCGGGAGCAGGAGTGCTCAGGAGACCCCTGCCTCCACAAGCTGGCACTTTGCTGACCAGGAGCATAGGCCAGAGCAGCTGAGTGTGGAGCAGCTGGCTCACCCAGCCCAGGCTGCTAGCTCCAGACCCAAAGCTTTAAAACTGAAGGCAGGCTTCCTCCCTGTGCGTTTGTTCCTGGCACCCAGGCCACTGCAGGCACCACACACTACATCCGTTTCATGAAATGCCCATGGTTCAGATCTGGAGAATCTATATGCCAGTCGCTTTGGCTCACCTGCATGCACTTGTGCAACACCGGGAATGGCAGGAGAATCCTCACACGGGGCGCGGGGGCAGACACTCCTGGGGCTGTGCCCATGACAGATGGTTCTGCCAAGCCTCACACCCTTCCCTCTGAGCTGTGTGCTGAGTGTCCCTCTTAACCTAGACATCAGGCGTCCCAGCAGCTCACCTGTCTCAGATAGGCTGACTACGCCATGCTGGGGACAAACATGCTTGGGTTTTCATTTGTCCTCCTTCTTTGTCTCATTTTTTCTGAGTCCAGGAATGATCTTGAACGCCCCCTTCTCCCCCCTCCCCGGTCTTGTGAGTATAAGAGGCAGTAGGCAGCAGGCAGGGCAGCTTTCCTCCTCTGACTTCCTCCCAGCCTGGCTCCCAGCGTGAATATGCACTTTCTTGGGCACATCAGGCTCCCCATCAGTGGTGTGGGGACAACGGTGCTATCACTGCTATGATGGTTGGGGTAGAAAATGGCAATATCTGCAGCAAGAAGGTGATGTGGGAAGGCCCAATGGTGGTGGATTAGAGGATCGCTTTCCTGGGGCTACGCTCCAAAAAACAAGGGCTGAGCCAAGAGAAAGGAAGGTATGTGATCTAGAACACGGGGACTGCAGTCTGGAGGGCAGGGAGGGAGCCACAGTCAGGGTAGTGGGGCGGGGGAGTCAGGCTGAGGACTTCCTGGGGTCAAAGTTACGTGTGAGTTTTTGACTTCACAGTGGTGGGTGCCCCAACCCCACCTTGTTTAAGGCTCAGCTGTACTTTTATCTGTGCAGCCTATGTGGTCTCTGCCGTGACACTCAGCTCTGATCTGCAAGTGGATGGATATGGCCAGTCTGACCCACGGGGGTGGGGGGTGGGTCCATGGGCCATCGTTTGCTGACCCCCTAAACACTGGTCTCTACCACGAACTCAGACACAACAATTCTCACAAAACAAGCAGATGGAATGTAGAAATAGAGAAGATGTATAACACCACTATCAGGAGTTATCTGGAAACGCAAGGCTGGCTTCGAAACTAGATACTTGATCAAGGTCATTAGCCTTGTTAGCAGGCTAAAGAAAAACTGCAGTATCATATCAGTGGTGTGAAAAGCGTGAGACAAAAGTCAACATCTGTGCATAATCAAACTATGGCCAGAAGGGAAGCTTAACCTGACAAACGTAGACTGCAAAATCTACAGCTAGCATCATCCTTCATGTTAAAAAAAAAAATGCTTTCTCCCAAGTTCTAGAAAAAGAAGACTCTGTCCGCTTTCCAGCCGACAGAGTGCTTGGAAGTTTTAGTCAGCACAAGCAGGCTGAACAAATAAATAAGTGGCATATGCATTGGAAAGGAAGGAATAAAACCTCTCCTATTCACAGCTGACATGATTGTTTATCTAAAAAATCTGAGAGAATCTACAAAAAGATGTCCTATAACTAACTAATAATAGTTCCACAATGCTACAGGAAATCAGGTCCATTAGATATCCAAATTCTAGGAATGTGCTGGGTAGGGGAGCCTTCTGAAACACCATAGACCCCCACCCCATGGGCAAGAAGAATGCTGGGACCCTGAACCACCCTGCCAGCCCAGAGCCATTGCCTGGGGTGGGGGTGAGGGGCATTTGTTCAACAGTCTCCCTTTCAAAGTGCATAGCAGTTTTGAGGGCCCCCACGCTGTTCAGCGTCCCCTCCTTTCCCAAGGCTACCTGCTCTCCATCAGCCGGGCATCTGGACAGATGTGCTGACAAGAGGGCCACCAGTAGAAAGCCATGGAGGACCGCAAGAGAGCAAATGACACTGTCCAGGCCCCAGGATCACTGCCGTAGACCCTTGCAGGAGGTAGCTGCCTACTACCTGTAACACACGTGCGTACACACACACAGCACAGATGTTCAGGCAGTCACAGTTGACACACATGCACACATGTACACACCATGTCCCCTTTGGCTGTCACCTAATACAACAAGGAGAATACACATGGGAAACAGGGACCCAGACCAGGATCCCATGCCTGCCCCTCATGGTCCTTGGGGTGTGTGTGCCCTGCCCGGCTTCCCTGCGGCAGATGACAGTCCCACTGTGCGAACACTTGTTGAGTGTCTACCAGCCAGCAGGTCTGGCCCAGATGCATGCTATGTTCAGAGCAGGTGAGCTCCAGGCACGTGAGGCACCTCAGGTCCTCATGAGATAGTCCTTTGTCCTCTCGAATGCCACTGCCCTCCGCTCCTCCCCAGGTCTACAGCTTTTTACTCTAAAAGCTGGGGCTCCCCTGGGCCTCAGACACCTGCTTGATTAAAATCACCAGGGACATTTTAAAAAGTACTGGTGCCTGAGGCCCAACCACACTCACTGAGTCAGAATCTCTGGGTGAGGAGGCCTGAGGCTTTCTAGAAGATTCCAGGTGACCTGGGGGCAGCCGAGATCTGCCAAGAGACGGCCCAGCTGGTCCCGCTCAGACCAGCACCAGCGCAACAGCTCTCTCCCTTCCATTGAGCTCCTAGGGGGTGCTGGTTGCTGTTCCTGGGCCCTGGAGTGGGGAGGACCGACAATAACTTGAAGCCCACCACAAAGAATAATTACAAACGTCATCCGACCTTCAGAGGCAGAAAAGGGAAACGTGGGTAAGGAGGGATCTGTTTTGAGTGGGGAGGGAAAGGCCTCCGAGAAAGGGTGCTGACTCGAACGGGAACCCAGAGATGAGAAGGAGCCTGGTGGGCTCGAGAGGACTTCTTAATGGCTGATCCCTCAGGCTTCCCAAGGCAGACGCTGGGAGGAAGCCCCAACCACCCAGCACTTCGAGTGAAGGACGGTTTCTTTCACTAGAATTTTAAAACCAACTCTTGCAGACAATCTCTTTGCTGCCTTTCCCCCTCACAAAACCTCACAGTGAGGCAGGGGCTTCTGCAGTAAAGAAGCCAAGATTTGGAGGATAAAGACTTTGGAAAGCCTGGCTATGGCCAGGCTGGGCTGGGGACAGATCACCTCCGGGGACAGCCCAATGCATCTGACAACCGCCAGGTCTCACCTGATTTCCAGGTGACCTGGGGGGATAAGAAAACCAGATGATGACACGTGGGCTCCCTGCATCTGCATGTACATCCTGCCCACCTGCCTCTTCCAGCTTGGGGACAGCCTGGGGACAGCTTGGGGACATACCTTCCTGTGCATCTGGCCTTGGGCTCCGGGCCAGAAGTGTTTTGCTTTGCAATCTGCAAAGTGGGTGGCAGCCCCTTTGCTCTGCTGGGTGGGCTCCCTATAGGCCCAGACTAGGGCCCTGCTGCCTGGTGGCCAACAGCTTCCTGCAGTACCCGCTCATCACTTCTGCAATGACACCACCCGTCAGGTCTGACTGAGTTCTCCCTGCCTGGACCCTGCACCCTGGGGCTTCTAGGTGGCCATGGGGGCATCTGCCTAGTTCAGGAGTCAAGTCCACAGATGCTGTGAGGGAGGGGAGGCCCAGGAGCCCAAGGAGAGAGACTAATTTACTGCTTTCTCTGGTGTGACCCTAAATCACAGTCTCCCCGGGCCTCAGGTCCCTCACCTGCAACATGGAGTAACAAAAGTTCCCCTTCACAGGGCTGCGCTGGGAGATGTTTAGCAGAGACTCTGCAGTCACCAGGAGGCAGCGAGCAAGTGCAAGCAATCCTTCCCCAGTTACTGCTAATCTTGGCAGCAGCATTGTTGGGTCTCCTCTGTGCACTCGCTACACACTGTTGGGAGGCGGGGAATCTGGCTGCCACAGCGTACCTGGTGGCGCTGGCTCCGAATTTGGCAATGCTAGGTTCACCTTCCAGAGATGCATTTTTATCTGCATCTTGTTTTAATTTTAACTCTCAGTTCTTACTAGTTAATATAATAAACCCAGTGAGACTCAACGCATAGGAACGGAAGGAGGGGGAGTGAACTGCAAGCGGTGCGCGGGTGGGAAAGTCTCGGGGAAGCGCGGCGCACGTGGGAAGTCGGCGGTGGGAGCGATGAGTTAGCACTTGACATGGGAAGCCGAGGGCCAGATGCTGCCTCAGCTGGTAACCGGCCCTACGCCCCACAGACCCTGGAGCCGGTGAGGGTCTGTCTGGAGCCTCTGCGAAAACCGAGCCCAGTCCCGGATTGCTTCAAGCCCCTCACCCAGGCCTCCAGGGAAGCGTAGCCCAGGTCTTCCATGTGTGCGGGAGGCAGGGGACACTGACCTGGGCACTGAGCTGGGCACTGAGCTGCGCGGGGCCAGCGACCAGCAGCAGCAGCAGCAAGAGCGCGCGGGGGGAGCGGGGATGCATCTCTCTGGTCCGGACCTCTCTGCCTGGGAGGGAGCAACGCTGTCCGCCTCAAGCCAACAGAGTCCAGCCGATGCCCGCTGTGTCCAGCCCGCAGGGTCAGGGAGGCGGGAGTGCAGCCGGCTGCCCAGAGACGAGGGGAGGAGAGGGGAGCGCTGTTCGATCCGCGCGCGTGGTCTGGGCACCAGCGGCCACCAGTGTCCAGGGTCCGCTAGGGGGTGAAAGGCGCCTGCCCAGCCAGGAGTAGGAGGGGCCGCCCAGCCGGGAGTAGGAGGGGCCGCCCGGCCAGGAATGCGCTTGGAGCGAACCCAGCCCCGGCCGGAGGCGGCGCAACTCCAGTACAAGGACGGCGGGTGTCCCCAGGGCCCCAGGAAAAGTTGGCAGACCGTTCTGCTCACGAGCCAGCGAGGGGCCTGCTGACCGGCCCCTTCCAAGCTGGGGACACTGAGCCGATATGTCCCAGCAGCAAATGCCAGAGTGTGACTCCCACCTAGGTCTGTCCGCTCCACGGCCACGCACGGATACCGTCCTCCACCTAGGACATGGGCTCCACAAATGCGACACGAGTCAGACTAAGCTCTCCATCCGAGAGCTTAGTGTCCTCCTAAATAATGCTTGAACCCGGGATACACATTCTCGGGAACTAGAAACCTACGGTACCTACTGTTTCCCGCCCCTCAGATGGAGAACGGTGTAAAATGGAGGCGGGTTATGGGGACACTGGCTGCTTTGCTGCAGTGGGTGGGCAGTAGCCCTGGGCAGGGCGGATACGAGCAGCCTTGAAGGCTCCTGCTCGCGGGGCTGTGGGAGGAACCAGATGGCCTCCCCGCTCCCCTGGAAAGCATTATCTAAGTACTTAATGGAAAACGCTTTCAGAAGGCAACACTGCAGACGGCGCGATGCTGCCATGTGTGCCAAGCCTCAAAGCCGGTGTTCCTCCGCGCGCGTGGGTAGCAGCGCCCTCTTGCCCTCTCTGAGCCGCGATTTGGAAGTCCCCTGGGAAGTGCAGCACGGTGGATGGGGCCACCTGAGCGTCCCTACCCAGGAATCTCTGCCACCCCCATGCCCCAGAAGTGGGGCGCCCATGGAAACACACTTTGCATTCCTCATGAGGTGTCCTGAAGGGAGCCCAGGTTTGGCAGAATCAATCGCTATCCCCTGGGCTCGGTGTGCTCTCCAATATGCTCGTGTCCTTGTGTCCTGTGGGAACACAAAGCAAGACAGGAGCATTTGCTATTAAAATCTAAGGCCCGGCCAGAAGTGGCACCCACCAGGTGGAAAAAGTCCATCTTACAGGGCCCTCCGGTCCCATGTGGGCCCCAAAGCATGTGACTCACCCTTTGGGTTTCAGGGACTTGTCATCAACTTGCCTGTGGCCGGGTTCTGCCTGATGGCACATTTGGGGCTGCTTCTCTGCCTTTACCTCTTTCACCCCACGTCCATCTGTGCTTCTAAATGTCATCAGTCCCTGATAGGACCTACAAAAATTGCAGAGACAGAGCCCCAACACAGCCTGCAGTCCTGTGTTGAACTTTGCTCAGGGTGGTAATATACCTGGTTAAAAATGCCACCCCTCCTTCAGATTTTCTTGCAGTTTAGACTCTCTTAATCCAGACCCTACTGGGTGTGTAACTAGTTCTGAATAACTGAGCTACAGGGTGGGGCTTCTGTTGATGTTTTCTATTTACTCATTTATTACAGACATGCTTTCCTTTAGGCTCTTGACCAGAGATACAATAGTTATTTTAGGATCCTTGACTGATAATTCACCATCTGTTATCTTCTCATGGTCAGGGACCATTGACTGTCTTCTGAATATGAACCATTTTTTTCTGGTTTACTAGTATACCTAGTTATTCTGGGTTGTATCCAGGGATTATGAATGAGATCTTATAGGTACTCCTTATTGTTATGTTACTCTGGATATCATTTTTAAATTGAGGTATGATTCACATACCATAAAATCCACCACGTTAAAGGGGACAACGCTCCTTTTTAGTATATTCACAAAATCGCGCAACCATCTCCACTACCTAACATTCCATCGCTACAAAAAGGGACCTCATCTCATACCCATTAGCAGTCATTCCCCATTGCTTCGCCCCCCTCAACACCTGGCAACAACTAATTTACTTTCTGTCTTTATGGATTTGTCTATTTTGGACATTTTGTAAAAATAGAATCATGCAATACGTGGCTGTTTGTGATTGCCTTCCTTCACTTAGCATAAGTTTTTCAAGGGTCATCCATGGTGTAGCATGCATCATATAAGTGTGTCATTCCTTTTTTGTCTTTATTTGGTTATTTGTCTTCTTATTATTGAGTTGAATCATATTTCATTGTATGGATAGATGACGTTTCATTTATTCATTTACCAGTTGATGGACAATTGGGTTTCTAGTTTGTGGCTATTATGAATGATGGCGCTACGAGCATATGTGTAAACATGCATTTCCATTTCTCTTAGGCATAGACTTAGGAGTGGAATTATTGAGTCACATGGTAACTCTTTAATCATTTGATGAACTGACAAACTGGTTTCCAGAGTGGCTGTGCCATTTTATATAAGGGTTCCAATTTATCCACAACCTTAGCAGTACTAGTTATTAACCTTTTCTCATGATGCATAAAAAGGAATATTGTTCCTATTGCCATTTCAGTGGTTTTGAGGCTATCTTATGGCTGTGATTTTTTTCCTCTGACGACTGATGATGTAGAGCAGCTTTCCATACGCTTACCAATCAGTTGTGTATCTTCCTTGGGGAAAGGTCTATTTAAGTCTTTTGCCATTTTTTTTGGTTGGTTTATTTGTCTTATTATTGAGTTGAAGGAGTTCTTTAATTAAAAATTTTTACTATTATGATTTTTTACAGAAAATCTACTCGATATTTATTAAACTTAGTTTCTCCAACTATGATTTAGCAAAGGAGTTCTTTATATAATCTAGCTATGAGTCCTTTATCAGATATATGATTTTCAAATATTTTCTTCTATCTGTGCGTTGACTTTTCACTTTCTTGATGGTGTCTTTTGAAGAAAAAAAGTTTTTAATTTTGACGAAGTCTAGTTTTTCTGTTTCTTTTTTTATTGCTCATACTTTTTGGGTCCTATTTAAGAATCCTTTGCTAATTCCAAGTTCATAAAGATATACCCGTATGTTTTCTTCGAAGAGTTTTAACAGCTTTAGCACTTACATTTAGATTTTTGACCTATTTTATCTATCTATCTATCTATCTATCTATCTATCTATCTATCTATCTATCTATCTATTTATTTTTTAGGCGAGGCAACCCTTGGTTGACCTCACAGATTGCAAGGACCTTGTCAGCTTACAATCCCTTAGTTTTTATTTTTTATGCCTTCAGCACCTGGTCTTCCTAGGTGGTCTCCCATCTAAGTATTAACTATGCCCAACCCTGCTTAGCTTCCGAGATCAGACGAATCAGGCTTGTTCAGGGTGGCATGGCCATAGATTCTGGCCCATTTTAAATTAATTTTTACATATGCTGTAGGGTAAGAGTCCCATTTCATTCTTTTGCATGTGGCTACCCAGCTGTCTCATTTGTCGAAGTGACAATTCTTTCTCCATTGGATGTTCTTGGTACTCTTGTCAAAAATCAGCTGACCATAAATATATGGATTTATTTCTGGACAGTTAATTTTATTTCATTGATCTCTATGTCTGTCCTTGTGCCAGTACCACATTGTCTTGATTACAATTGGCTTTGAACTGTTTTGAAATCAAGAAGTGTGAGTCCTCCTACTTCTTTTTCAAGATTATCTTAGCTATTCTGGGTCCCCTGAAATTCCATACGAATTTTATCATTGGCGTTTCAATCTACACAAAGAAGTCACCTGAAATTCTGAATGGGATTGCTGTTCAATTTTGGAAATATTGCCATCTTAAGTCTTCTGATCCATTTTTTAGTTTATTTATATTTTATTTAGTTTCTTTCAATAATGCTTTATAGTTTTTAACATACAAGTTTTGTACTTTTTTGGGGTCAGATTTTCTTCTTGATGCTTTTGTAAATAAAATTTTTTTTTTAAATTTCACTTTCAGGTTGTTCACTGCAAGTGTAGAGAAATATAATTGATTTTTATATATTGATCTTGTCCTGCCACCTTTCTGAACTGATTATTTTTAGTAGATTCCTTAAAATTTGCTATACATGAGATCATGTAATGTGTAAACTGAGATATTTTTGCTTCTTCTTTTCCAGTTTCAATAACTTATTTCTTCTTGTCTGGTTGCCTTGGCTAGAAGTTCCAGTACTATGTTGAATAGAAGTAGTGAGAATGTACCTAATCTTAGAGGGAAAGCACCCAGTTTTTTTTGCCATTGAATCTGATGTTCATTGTGGGTTTTTGTAGATGTCCTTTATCACACTGAGAAAGTTCCCTTCTGGTCCTAGTTTCTTAAGCGTTTGTATCACATAAGAGTGTTTGATTTTGGCTAGTGCTTTTTCTGTATCTATTGAGATAATCATGGCATGTTTGTCAGTTTGTCCTGTTGATATATTGATTTTCAAACACTAAGCCATCTGTGTATTCCTGTGGTAAATCTGGGTCAGTCATAGTGTTTAATTACTTTTATATGTTGCTGAATTTGGTTTGCTAGAGGCTTTTTGCTTTCATATTCATGAGAGATATTGGTCTGCATTTTTCTTGTGTCGTCTTTGGCTGGTTTTGGTATTGGGGTAATACTGATCTCATAAATTGAATTAGGAAGTGTTCTTCCTTTATTTTTTAAAGAGTCTGTGAAGAATTGGTATCAATTCTTTTTTAAACGTTTGGAAGAAATCAGTGGTGAAGGCATCTGAGCTCAGAATTTTCTTTGTGGGTCATTTTGTTTTAATTACTAATTCAATATCTTCATTTGTTATGGGTCTATTCAGATTATCTATTTACTCTTGAGTTACTTTTGATAGTTTGCATTTTTCCAGAAAATTTTTCATCTCATCTAAGTTGCCTAATTTATTGACATATGTTGTTCATCATATTCCCATATTTTTCCTTTGTAGCTATTATTAAATTTATGTCTTGTATTGTTCCTCACTTCCTCCATTACTGCCTTCTCTTGTGTTCAGTAAGATTTAATAGTTTTCCATTTTTATTTCCTTGTCGTTTCTGTACTGCATATTTTTGAAATGTTTTCTTAGTGATTGGGCTTACCATTAATATCTCAATTTATAATGATTTGGTTCTGATTAATACCAACTTAATTT